TGAAATATAATCAAACCAAATTTTAATTTTTACATTTTTACTCACGGTATTCCACGCCCATCACGATGTCGCGGAAATTCTTCCTGGCAGTTTCCTCGTCGAGTGGTTTGTCAGTGGGCACCTGTAGTATCTCACCCCTCTGGATCAATTCGAAGACAAGGTAAAGGTTGTCCTCGTCTGGATCGTCGAGAACTTCCACTAGCTTCACGACGTTCGGATGATCCAGTTTCTTCAACAAGGCAATCTCTCTGTAGACCTTGGCCAAAGGGTTAGCCGATCCCTTTTTCCCCGGGATCATTCTACCGAAGACACCTGCTTTCTTCATCAGCTTCTTCTTACTGAGAATCTTCATCGCGTAATAGGTCTCGTCCTCCTCGTTGTAAACTAGCTTTACGATCCCGTATGAGCCCTGTAAACATTAGAAATATAGAAGAGGAGAAGGGACATAAATCATCGGCACTAAAACATTCTTGAAAATGAAAGCATTAAAAAATTGAACGAATCTTTTTTAATTTGAAACACTAATATCATTATCGATTTTCAAAGAAAATCTAATGGAATCGCTTAGTCGAAGTAGCTATCAAAAATTCCTTAATTCATACATTAGAAAATGAATTCAAACGAATTTCTGTGAATTTTCTTGTCGCCTCGTTTGACTACTCGTCTCTTCTCGCGATAGAAACCGGGCGAAAAGAATTTCATTTTTTAACGAGTTGACAGGCAATTATATAAAGATGTTTAATCTGCTTTTTTAAAACTCTCATTTGAATAGAACGTCTGAGGAGAAGGAAAAACCGACTTTGTGGAACGGTGTCAGTTCATTAAAGCTAACTTCTCGTCTTGTCGACACCTACACGAACATTATTTCCACTCATCTATTTTTCTTCTCTCCTGTTTCATTTCCTACAGGGGATATTAAAAGAGAGACGCTAAAAAATAATGATATCTTCCCGCAGAACTAACAGTTTTTAACGGAGAGTGCAATATTCTTTTCATTTTGCTCAAATCACGAGCTGTCGTGTAAGATGTTTCAGCGAAATTATGAAAACAACGAGTAAATATTAAACGTGGATACTGTTTAATTTTACGTTTATTAAACAGGTATAATGCAATTTAGAATCGAAGGTTCGAGACAATTTAAATTCGAAGGTTACCTTTTATAAATAATTCAAGGAATATTTTTATATTAATTCAAGAAATTTTCGACCCAATTTAACGAACCAATTTAATTAAAATATGATATGAATAACAATGAGAGCATTGTGCGCAGATATTTTCTTTGAATTTCGTTTAAAAGCGATATCATTGATATGTAATGCTGGTTTCTGAGTATTCGCAAATTATTCCGTTATGTAATGCTGGTTTCTGAGTATTCGCAAATTATTCCGTACTCCATACGAAATTAATTAAAAACTTTATTTCGCCTGATATCTTCTCATATAATTGACGAATC